GCTGAATTTGCAAATAGTTCTGGAAAGGTAAATACATTTCATTTGTGAATTACTAGATCACCACAACAAGTGCAAGGATTTGGGTATGTGACAGGATACAGCTAGTATGGAAAAACATGAGATTGTCAACCTGTAATAATGTCACGAGTATTGTATATGATCTTTATAGGATTTTATATATTCAATTTATGGACGCATCAGGCTGATTATCTTAAATTAAATGGAACCAATGGAATCAGGAAAGCAAGCAAATAAGATTGCCAATGTGACACAACAAGATCTTCAGTATACTACAGGGAGCAGTGGTACACAAATACACAAGTCCATGCACTGAAAGCACCCAGTGGCTAGTTAGTGCTGCCTCTGGGCAAATACACTGTAGCGTGCCATTTCTGAAGTTTGCTTACTCAGCACAAAGCCAGGGAATATCTACATCTTCCTTCATAAAGCAGCATGACTGTCCTGCAAGGATGTTTCCCCACAGACTCTTCTAAGTTAAATCAAAAAAGATCACTGAACCATATGAAGCCAAGACAGTGCCTCTGTCTGAAATAATCTAATTGCATGTAGGTTTGTCTCCAAACTTTAGAAATTTTCCAGAGAGCACGGTGTCTATTCTTACTGGGAAGGCATTTACTAGGAAGAGACAATGCTTCCTCTTTGGATTACTCTCCCTTCACACCCACCCAGGGAACTTGGACACCAAAGAGGCTGACTCCATACCCACTGCCAGACAGGTGCTGTCTGACAGTGCCGACTGCTCCTGTAGAGACTGGCTGCAGCTCTGCCACGCAAGTGCTGACGCTGTGTTCTGAAGAATGGCATCAAGGCAACAGCATGGTACATGCCCTGGGAGGTGGCATAAGGACAGACTGGGCTACTTGGGAGTTCAAAGCTTACTGGGAATGGGATGGGGCACTCTGGAGGGCAGAAGGAGCCAAACGGTGCAGTCCCACCTGTACTGCCTCTTGCTAATGGCATAAATCAAACTTCTCCCCAAGTTGCACCCAGCTTTTTACTGGGAAAGAAGTAGCTGGAGTGGTCCAAAAGAAGGCTAGGAAGCGAGCCAACAATTAAGCGATACAGATGACCAAGGATGTTGTGCATAAGCTTATTTCCTAGACTTTTTCTATTTAGTGGTGTAGATGTATTCTGGGTGGGTAAAAGGCTGACAAAAACTCTAGAGGAACTTTCTCTAGGAAGAATAATGGGAAACAGGAGCCTGAGAGAGCTTTGTGAGAACACCTGAGGGAGCCCTAGCCTCTTCTCACTTCCTGAACTTTGGAGCAAGAAAGTTCACTTGTGCTTTTTATAAGACTTCATATACTCTGAACTAGACTAATACGACTTAATTTAATTTAGTTAGTGGATACTACAATTTCCAGAGTGAACCAAATGACAGGGAGTAATCTATGTTTTTCAGGAGGTAAAAGCAATTTACCTTAAGAAGTATATGGTCTACTCTAAGCAAGAAAGAGCTGTGACTTCCAGTGACTATCCCTGTGAGAAGTGACAACTCATATCTCAAGTGCAATGCATTCAGAGAGCCAGTCAAAAGTTAAATTAATCCCAGAAATGTGAGAAGAAAGCTAGAATTACAAGTTTGTGAGATGCAGACACAGATGTCATTACATACATACACAGAATAAAACACATACATAGATATAGGCATGCATGGAATTCTGAAAATCTTCAATAAAATATTGAAGTCTAGATACTGGTCTAATGCTGAACATCACCTCTCTGGAGCTTGCTCATTAACCTCACTAGATCAATGAATCACATCCTCGTACTGTTTGCTTCTAAAGACCCATTTGTTCCAAATATTTGTATTCAGCCAAATATTTAACAACATTAAATTCTAGGAAGATACTTTTGATTTTTTTTTTTTTTTTATTTTTTTTCTTTTATAAGGCTCAACCTCCAGCTAGAAACGCTCTCCAAAAGGGAAGCTTAAAATCACAGAAAGAATCTAAGGTCCAAATGCAGCAGTCTACTTTATTTTCTTTCACCTTTCTGACATAATGAGTAAGTCCATTTCCTATCTGCATTTTGCCATCCATGATCATTTAGTGTAGCCCTCTGCAGCTATTGGAAAACAGTATAAAACTTGCATTAGGCTGACTAAAGCATCACTGCTCATGAATGTTTAAGGACATAATCATAGAGTAAAATTTTCCTGCAGTTTTAAGCACTGTAAGAGTAATATATAACTTGTAGCCATCATAGTTGTATCTATCCTCAGAAGCTGAACTTTAAAATGTTAAATCCTGGTATAAAGCTGGCCAAAACGATTGCTTATTAATAGCTATCTTTCCTCTGTGTTTCACAGTTATCTGGGACACATGCTTAAAATGCTAGTCTGACATACCATACCTGGCTACCAGTTTATTTGAATTACTATTTCTTCCACAATGCCTCAGCTCTGCAAGATTTCTTTTACATTCTTTTCCCTTTGCTAAATTGAAGATTTTATGGGTGTGGAAGAGCAAGGACTGCAAAATACACTAAAACTGTGTATGCCAGATATTTTTTTTACCATTCTTCTCTTATACTACTGATAGATTTCATAATACAATTCAGTATAATCATAAAGGTGGATGCACTCATTATACATTACATTTTACTGATGTACTCTGAAATCTAATTACTTCTTTTCTGAAAAATAGTTTTCAAATGCAGCATTACAAAATTCCTTGGTTTATTGTCTGTTGTTTATTTCAAATAAATCTCCCTCATTTTTGAAGTAAAGTGTTCTTATATAGCACAATATTTTGCAACTTATTATATAATTTTGTTTATGCTAAATCGCCAGTGACCTACTTAGTGACAGAAACCATTCTCTATTTTGATCTAATACCTGTTCATGTCCTTGAGAGTCCCACCCAGAGTTCAGTGGATTTTGCATCACGTATAGTCACTTGCATAGTGGTATACTGGGGGAGGAGCAAGGATCAAAAATATAGATGACTACCTTAATTTACCCAGATCCTCTAGATGTTTGGGCTATAGCAATCTATCAAAAGATCCAGAAGCTTGGATGGTTACTTAAAACTCTGAATCCAGAGTTCCACATACAAAAGAACAGAAAAACCCAGATTTCTTTAAGTTGATTTTACCAAACAGCACGTATGGAAAGAAAACTCAATTATGATAGCTTACCCATTTATCTCCAAACATTCAGACTGCCATTTTTTGGTTTTCTCTGATGCAGACTTGCAGGAAGGGAGCTGATCAAAGGGCCTTCCCTGCAGACCTGGTCCTCTCTTTTTTTTTTTTTCTTATAGCAGAAGTAAAACCAGAGTTCGCTTTCATAATCATCCCCTTTTCCTTTCACT